TCTGTACTAGGACAGTTTATGTGCACAATCCTAGTTGATTATAACAAAATCTTTGATATTAAGATCTTTGCTTAAATAAAGAGGGTGCTGATTACCTAAAGCCCCTTCTGAAACTATTATACAAAACTGCAGTTTTCTGTAAATTTGTGATCCCATCCTCTCAGGCTCCCTCTGCATTACTGCAGGGGCGACTTTGGACTGACAAAGTGCACAATTAAAATTGTGGTTCCATAAACTAAAGATTCCATCTCCTCACACTCTATTAGCATTGGGGCAGAGAGTGGACCTAGTAAGACCCCTTCCTTTGTACAGTTAATATATGTGAATGGGTTTTCCCTTCGTCCTGTGCTTCTGGAATTCAGCAGTGGAAGACCTACCTTAACTTGAGACCTTTGCATTAGAATAGATAATGTGAACCAAGGTAACTGACCACAATTATGTCTTTGTGATCAAAATCACTTGTTAATTTTTTACCTTTCCGGGGACTATGAATAGGCAAAATTCCAATGCTAATGGTCCCACCCTTTAATTCCTCACTTCCTGTATATTTAAAGCAAGGAATGGAAGGATCCTTTTCTTGGTACTGCTAATTTATTTCCAGTTGATCCTGGTCTGTCCCAGTAAGCTAAAGTCTGGACTTCTGGGATTTATTATATAGCAGGGGCTGTGAGCACCAGAAGTCTTTCTGTTAGAATATGAAAGTGCAAAACTGCCCTAGGGCCCTATTCGATTATACCTCCCTCCTTGGCATAACAGCAGGGAGTGTTTTTATACTACTTAAAATGTGCATAATTAACAGTATTCTAAGCCTCCAATGTTAGAGTAAGATTCCATTTCTTTGCTTCATGGCATCACTGTGGGGAGTCTTCTAAGCAGCCAAGATTTACTCTAATAAATGTTCATACTTAATTTTGCTCCAGTAATATGCACCAGGTAAAGACCCCACATACTATTTACATTGCAGCTGGAGGTGCCTACTATGTAAGACCCTTAAACTAGCACAGTTAATGTGTGCAGTCTTCGTTGTTCTGTACACATTCCCAGATGTCCAAAACTGTGCCTTTTGGATCAGGGTGCTGACCAACATAAAGCCCTTGGCCTGAGACTATAGATGTATGTATATGGTCCTTCAAGTTAGCTTTCTTTCTGTGACCCTTCACACCTTCTTTGGCTTACTGCATAAGGTACTGTTCACTTGAGGACCATTTTCAAAAACTATTAATGTACATAATGAAAATTGCCTTAGGATCCTTCCCTTTTATACTTTCTTTTAAGTACAGCAGTGGTGTTGGCCATTAAGGCAACATTTTGTGGCCTGCTGGTATGCATAACTGGATTTGTCCAGGTTTCTATGGACTAGAGCAGGAAGCCACTCTGGAAGTTTCTGCCATTCCCTTTCAGCAGGGAGTGCCCACTGCAGAAGATCCCTATATTTGAACAGTCAAGGTGTGCATATTTGTAATAACTGCCTCTTTGACTTTAATGCACATAACAGTATGTGGCTTATCCCATATGAATAAGATCTTACTCTTCGACCCCTTTGCAGTACAGTGGGGGTGTTTAATCTCTAATGCCCCTATTTGTGGGCTTTTATGTGGATGATTATGCTTGTCCATGTTTTTGTGTACTAGATAGAGGAAACCTTCCCCACTCTGCCCTTCTCCCTCCTCCTTTCCCTTCCAGTAGAAATGACTTCCCCCTAAGATCTTTATATTTGCACAGTCAGGGTGCACAACTATACTAACCAGTCATGCACCTTTGACATTAAGGTGCATAACTCCATGTGGTTCATCCCATTTGAATAAGATCCTACTCTCAGACCCCTTTTGCAGTAAATCAAGGGGTGCTGATCTCTAAGGCACCTATATGGCCTTGGCCTGTTATATAGGGCCTTGGCTTGTTATATGGGTGATGATATTTTCTGGGTTTCTGTATCCCAGACAAGCCTTCCCCCAATTTCTATCTTCCTTCCAGTCGTGAAGATCACTCCATAAAAATCCTTGTATTTGGACAGTCAAGGTGTATAATTGTAATAACCAAACCATGCACCTGAACCATGACTATAACTACACTTGGTTGATCTATTTGAATAAGATTGTACTCTCAGATGCCTTTTGCAATACAGCAAGGGGTGCTGGTCTCTAAGGCCCCTATTCTTGGCTTGTTATATGGGTGATATTTCTCTGGGTTTCTGTGTCCCAGACAAGCCTTCTCCCAACAGTTCCTACTCTGTTGGGCTGGGCGTATAGCTCAGTGGCACAGTGCTTGCCTATAGCACATGTGAGGCACTAGGTTCAATCCTCAGCACCACACAATAAATAAAGGTATAAAGAATATTCTGCTCTCAGGCATTTTTTGTCATAGAGCAGGGGTGCTGATTTCCAAGGCCTTTATTCTTAGCCTGTTTTGTGCGTGTTTATACTTGGCTAGATTTCTGTGAATTACACAAGGGAATCAACCTTACCTTCCCTGCCCTATCCTTCCTTTCCCTTCCATCTGCCTTTTCCTGCTAACAGGGAGTGGCCACTCCATAATACCCTTAGATGTGGAGAATCAAGGTGCACAATTATACTAACCAGTCCTGCACCTTTGACATTAATGTGCATATCTGCACTTGGCCCATCCCATTTGAATAAGATCCTACTCTCAGACCCTCTTGCAGTACAGCAGTAGTACTGGTCACTGAGGCTTCCACATGTTACTGGACAGTGTTCCCCTCAGTCTCTTTGCTTATCAGGAGGGAGTGTCTATTTCTTTAAAATCTTGGTGTAAAGTGTGTAGTTTTGATTTATCACAACTACGTCCCTTGGGCATTAATATACATAATTGTGGCATGGTTCATCATATTTAACAAAGGTCTTACTCTTATACCATCAATTTGCATATACCAAAGTTTGTGACCTCTAGGTCTCCTTTCTTGGCCTGTTAATACACAGAATTGCATTTTACTGGGTTCTTGGGCACTAGAGAAGGATTCCTCAACCTCTGACTTCTCGGCCTGTTAATAAGTGATGCCCAGTGTTTAAGACCTCTACACCTGGACAGTTAATGGGCATACATGCAGTTGTCCACAATCCTATTACATCTAGGATCATTGTACTCCCTTTGCTCTTTTTCAGGGGATACTCCACTGCGCCTCCTAGAGGACCATTAATAAACGTAATTGAATTTTATTTTTTGTCTTTATAGACTAAGATCATACCCATTTACCTATCCTTTGCAGTAAAGAAGGGCCTGCTGATCAAGCAAGGTCCTTTTCTTTTGAACCTTTAATATGTATAATTGCATTTGCTACTGTTCTGTGCACTAGAAAGGGATCCCACCTACTTCCTTGGCACTTTTAGCCCAAAGCAAGTATCCACTACTTGACTATCTTAGAAAGTTCCCATGCACAAAGAAAATGCTCTATCTATGCATGTCTTATGTAGAACCCTTGAGCTCTCCTTGCTTTAGAGCAGAGAGATACTTTTATTTAGTCCCTCTTCATTTGGACCTCAGCGTATGTTAATACTAGGATTTCATCTCCTCATATCCCCTTTGCATCAGAGAGACATTTACTATGAATCAGCTCTTCTCTTGCAAATATTAACGTACATAATTATGTCTGTTTGTGGACCTGTGTCATAGAAAGGACCTTAAGTTTTATTACTACGTTCTGATTGCTGCTGAGGCATACTATTCATAACCAAGTCTTGCATAATTAATGTGCAATGATAACAAAAACAATAATAACAATAATAGAGAAAGTACTGATCATTAGGTAAGATCACTGCACCATCATTATATACATCAGTGGTGCTGACCAACTAAGGTCCTTTGGACTTTCAATGTGAATATACACGGGTAGAATCCTATGTTCTTACACCCCATTTGCATTATTGCAGGGGCTGCTGACCACCCAAAATGTCTACTGAGACTGTTATGGGCACAATGGAAATTATTAATGTTTTTTTTTTTTCCTTTCCTGAAACTTATCTGGGGACTGTTAAGAAGCATAATGGCAATCATCACTAGTTATATTTCCTCCCTGGCCTTGTTAAGCAAGCACCCTGACCCAGTGACCCATAGCATAATAAAGTATAAACATCACAGTATGCCATGTACTTGTACATCAAACAGTGAATGGCCCATACTTCCACTCCTTTTACCTTAAAACATGAAATCCCAAGTAACCATGGACTTACTCTTCATACAAGCCCTGCCTCCTGTCTGCCCCTAGACCCATCTTATGGACTACTAATGCTCACAGTCCAGATAAGATTGTGCTCCCTTTCTCCCCATTACCCTCCTCTGCCCCATTCACTTCTTTACTGAGTAATGTTGACTGGGCAAGGCCCTCTCTCTTAACAATCCCAGATGTCCTTGGCCTACCCACTTCAGTTGCAATTTCCTTGGTCCTGCCCATTAGACCCGGACCCCTCCCACTTCCTTTGCATTGCTTCTGAGTAGTGCTAATTATCCATAGCCCCTTCTGTGTCCTTAAAGAACACAGGACTGATTGTCCCAATTTTCTCCCCATCAGTCCAAGATCTTGCTACCATTTGATACATTTGTGCAGCACTAACTATTAAAATCAGGCCTGAACTAGGTGGATGAGCCTTCACCTCCCCGGCCCTGGAATTTGTTAATTATCACAATTCCAATTATGGGCACATTCTGGGGATAAGAACCCCTCCTGCCCATCTTTGTTACTTTTTTACTGTGTAAAATATTCAAGGCAAATCAGGCTCAGGGAGCTGGATTGACACCCTTGATATAGGGTTTTCATTATATAGTAATAATTGAAAATTGTCTCCCTAGGAAGGAAGATTAACATTGCTCTACATTCTTCCTTCCAGAGCAAATTTCCTGGTTAATAAATCTCCTTGCTGGGAGCAGTGGCATATGCCTGCAATCCCAGCGATGCAAGAGGCTGAGGCAGGAAGATTGAAAATTCCAGGCCAGCCTGGACAACTTAGTGAGACCCTATTTCAGAATAAAAAAAAAAAAAATCAATAAAAAGGGCTGAGATGTAGCTCAGTGGTAGAGTACTTCTGGGATTCAATCCCCAGCATTGCAAAACAAAGTAAACAAACCAGAAAACAACAACAACAAAAAACCCCAACAACACCTATATTCTCTTTTTTATGTGGCAGTTGTACAATGCTAATTGCCAAGATATGATCAGAAAGTTGCTGTTAATTTTCTTAAAAAAAAAAAATTTAAAGACAGACATTTGGAATTGCAAGGTGGAATTGATTACCTGGCCCTTAATTATTTTGAAGACAAGAATCCACTTATACTATGTACCCAAAGATCAATGTCTCCCATTTTACTCAGTGATGAGTCTGTGGACAGACCACTTTCACTCTTGCTATTGTAATATTTAAAAAGGAGTACCAGAATACAACTCTTAAGACCAGTATCTTTCTTACTACCATTTTAAAGCCAATCTTTGGGCTTTAGCACCATGAACTTTTACGAAACTACCTAAGCCTTCTAATTCTTAAATTTCTTCATCTTGAGCACCAGCTCAGGATTGCCATAGAAGGATTAAATAAGAGGACATGTGCTGAGGAGCTTTTAAAAATTAAAGGCCACCTCTTTAGATTATATAAAATGCACAGTTTAATTCCGCTAGTAATTAAAAGTAGTTTGAAAAAGCACCCTAGAGTGAGGATTTATCTTAGAAATGAGGGGCCCTGTTTCCCCATCTTACAAGAAAAATAAGCCAAGATCTAATCATTTTTCTGAGCATAAACTTCAACAGTGACATGGCTGCCTAGTAAAAACAATATCCCAGCCTCTAGTATACAGAGTGGTGACTAAATATATTAATATGAAACTTCTAAAGCAAATAACTAGTCATCACAACAGCAGTTCCTCCTAGTCACTGATAAAGAATACTATTACTCTGAGAAGAATGTCAAAAGATCTGCCCCTGTGAGTGCAGTTTGCACTACCACCTCTTGGACAGCTGTAAGAAGAGATTCCGGCTGTTTACAATACTGTAAGTACTGCTTTGTAGCTATTAAAATAATAATTTCGCTATTCTATTTTCTTTCTCTTAAATGCTACCATATAGAAAAGTCAGGGTCTAATAAGCCTCTTTTCTACTTCAAGTCACCTTGTATGTATGTGTGTGTGTGTATGTGTAATATATATATATATCTTTATATACAATGAAAATATATTCTTTCACATAAAATTTGATTTTTTTTTTTTTTTTTGTGGTGTGTGAGCTCCATCCACCCATCCTAATAACATTGGCTGACTGGGGATAACATACATACACGCACACACACAGATAAGTAAGTAAATAATAAAATAGTCTTGATTTTTTTTTTTTTGAAACATGGTCTCTGCCATTGTTTCTCACACTAAAGCCATGCTTCTGAAAGAAATACCATGCACTAGAGCAGGAAGCCACTCTGGAAGTTTCTGCGATTCCCTTTCAGCAGGGAGTGCCCACTGCAGAAGATCCCTATATTTGAACAGTCAAGGTGTACATATTTGTAATAACTGCTTCTTTGACTTTAATGTACATAACAGTATGTGGCTCATCCCATATGAATAAGATCTTACTCTTCGACCCCTTTGCAGTACAGTGGGGGTGTTTATCTCTAATGCCCCTATTTGTGGGCTTTTATGTGGATGATTATGCTTGTCCATGTTCTTGTGTACTAGATGAGGAAACCTTGCCCACCCTGCCCTTAAAGGAGCAAAATTTCCTGAAATCCTAAAGAATGTGTTTGATGGAACACTGACTTAAGAAAAGTTCCTTAAAATGTAAACATGTTTTCATATTTCAAGTTACCATTATTAAAAACATGTTTCATACAACTCATAGAACTTGGGGATCCATGAGAATAGAGCCATGACCCCCGCTAAAAAAGAATATAGCCACAAACCCCAGAGTTCTTATCACCCCAATTTGAGAAACACTGGTTTAGGCTTATGAAATATTTTTCATTCAGCTCTGGAAATGATCAAATTATCATTATCAATGTATAATTATAACTATCAGTGGAATTTGTTTCAAAGGAATGAATTTGGAGCTGGTTCTGTACATGAATCAAGAAGAAGAATAACACCTTTTATATGGCCACACTGATGACTGCTAAAGAACATCGAAAGGTAAATCTTGGAGTTGTATTCCAATTAATTGCTTGAAATAATCTCTGCCCCTAAGAAAAATCTCTAGCAACTATAAGAAGGGATGTTCTAAAAATGTAGCCATTCTCAATATTGAGATAATCCTTGTTTTATTTTAATAGATATTCATTGTGCCAAGCACTGGAATGAATAACAAAACCAAAGAGAAGGCACAAATGAGCAAATCATTATGGAAATTCTGTAGAACATAGAAGATGACAGAGGAGTCTCAAAATTCTCATCAATGAATATTGAACCCTAGTAAAATGTAACCACTTTCTCTGGCCTCACATTCCCCCTTAGGGGGAAGGGAATGGTCCTGAACTATGTTGTTACTATAGTAACAAACAAAACTATGGGGCTTTGATGCTCAAGCCTTACTACATTGGCAACCCAACAAAATAGCAAGGTATTTTAGACATGATAGTGCTAATAATAACCTACTAGTTGTACTGCAGTGAGGGAGAGAGTCAGAATATGGGAGGAAACCAGTATTTGTTTCCTTCCAGAAACCATAAATACATAGTGCATAAATGAATTTCAGCTGGGATCCATTAATCCTACTCTCATTAGTGGGGTACTAGAAAGTACAGATAGGTCTGTCTAATGCTTCATGTTATACTTCCTAGTCCCCCAACCCCTGCAATTTTTACTTAAAACCAGTTTTGGTATCTTACTGAGCCCTTTCTTTCTTCTCAAGGACATTCAGAGCATGTGAGATTTGAGGACTGCAAGCAGCTGAAAGAAGCTACACATTCAGCAGACCTTCCCTTTTGAGAGTCTGGACAAGCTCCAGGTAACCTGGGCAGAGAGCTTGAAGGCTAGAAGACAGGCAGGCACTTTGATAGGTGAGGGTTGCTCAATCTTAACAATAGTGCCTTATCTAAGTGGCTTCATCTCTTGGTTGAGAAAGTCTTGGCTTCTCCTTCCATTGGTTTCAACTTTTAAATTTCTTGACCTTCTTGACCTCTATTATATTTCCAATGAGAACACAAATAAGAGCATTTACCCACTAACATTCCAGAGGATTGCTCATTAGTAGACCCTGGAGAATAAAGCAGACTCTGTGAATTTGATAATTATTCAGCTCTAGATTGCTCTTGGAAATGATGGGAAGTATGCAGAACAGTGTTGGGATGAATAGAACAATTCTCATGCTGCTAGACTGATCAACCCAGGGAGGTAAAGAGCTCTAAACAGCTAGAAGTGTTCATCCTTCAATCTGTACAAAGAAAAGGGTAGACATGATTTAACTCCGTTGCTAGTTACCAATCAGGACAGACTTTCTCAGTCTACTTGATTTTAATAATTTCTTTTTTTTCTTTTCTTCTCTAGATGTTCCTCAGAAGAACAGGCTTGTTGCTTTGCAGTGTTAGTGACCTTTTCCCTTTGACGATCCCCAGGTGGAGATGGGGCATGAGGATCCTCCAGGGGAAAAGCTCACTGCCACTGGGCAACAACCCTGAGTCAGGAGATTTTACTAAGATTCTTTCCTGGGTCCAGATAGGAGAGTGAAGACTCAAAGACAACCACCGCACATCAAGATGGGTAAGCTATCCCTCAAAGCATAATATTCTTAATTTTGATCTTGGTTTTTCTCAAAAACAGTGAAGTTAGCTTTTCACAGAAATTGTATTCATTTTCCTGCTTTGGTACAAACAGCTTCCTAACTAACCTGGGAGGCAACAGTGTGTCAGATTGGTGAAAGTAATGAGGTGAAGAAGTTACCATGCTGCATGAACCAGTTTAGGATAGAACTGCAGGATGTGGAAGAGGCCTACAACTAAATTTTCAAATTGGTCTTTCTTTTAGGAGAACATGGACAACAACTACCACTGCAACAACACTGATCTCCTAAGCAAATCATTCTGTTCCATGTGGTCCCCCAAATCTCCTTTGAAGAGAACTGTGCCAGGCATTCACAGACTTCAAGATGCCTTGGGATATCCATGGGATGTAACACACAATCAGCGGTTTGAGAAGATAAAAGAGAACTGTATCTCTGTATGCTATGCATGCGGATTGGCAGAAGACTAATAAGTACAACTGGAAATCTGACCAAAAATGGTATAGGGTTATCTCACATTGGGCAGTATCTACAGAACCAGGACCCTACACTCTCTAGGTAAGTAGATGGATGGGAAGGTTTAAGGGGAAGGGTTGGGAAATGAAGGTCACCATTCAGTACAGTAATCCTAATGGTAAAGGCGTTGTCCAGCATTATTCATAAAGAGTGGGTACCCTGTAAATTCAATGAGATGTTTTCATGGAAGGAGCCCTTGAAATGTTATAATCGAGTAGAAAAACCCAAGGATTTAGAAATAGAGAAAGTTACTAGCAACTTGTTGGAAAGCCTAGAAAAATCTATTACACTCAGAATCCTTAGGGCCAGTACCCTATACTCATCTTTTTTATTGGGAGAGTGTGAGTCCCAGAGTGACTCACCTTTATCTCAGAGATCAATGTTATGAGTTTTTGAAATATTGCTCTATTGCTTTGTATTGGTAGTCCTGAGCCAAGATACTTTAATACAACTAATTTGGCCCTTCAATTTTTAGGCCCTATTCTCTTTTTATCTCTATCTTTTTGTGATCTTGGTTATGAATCATTGGAAGGGACACCTTCCTAGCTGATTCTCATTCTTTTTTTTTTTTAATATTTATTTTTTAGTTTTTGGCGGACACAACATCTTTGTTTGTATGTGGTGCTGAGGATCGAACCCAGGCCGCACGCATGCCAGGCAAGGGCAGCTACAGCTTGAGCCACATCCCCAGCCCGCTGATTCTCATTCTAAACAGGATTCTAGTCTTCAACTAAAGAGACAAGGCTATGACTAATGATAGTGTCTCCAATGGCTCATAAAGTGATGGTGGACAAGACGTTTTCCCATTTCCTCTTCTGTATTAGTTTTGTCCTAAAGGGCCTAAAAGCTTAAACTTCATGAGTTTCTAAACTCTGTGAATACATTTTTTATAGTTCACAAATATGAATCTTCCATAACTGTAGCACAGTTATGCTTCTTCTATGACATTTACATGGTCTCTTTCTCTCTCTCT